GGGGGGGGGCGGCCACGTGCGGGGGCTGAGCCGGGCGCGCCCCGCCCGAGGGGTGCCCGTGCCTCTGCAGCCCCCTGGGCACACCTCGGCCTGGTCTCCTCCCTGCCACCACTGTGCTCCGGAGAGGGGGCCAGATCTGGCCGCTCTTTATTTTTTGCTTGTTTGTTCCTTTAAGGAAAATTTGTCGTGTGCCAGGTCAAATTAGCCAGATTAGGTCCAAATCTGTTCAAATCATTCAGGAACCGCACGTGGCCCTGCTACCGCAAGTATCCCCCACCGCAGGCCGGGGTTTCTAAATCCTTTGGCAGGCATCCCACGTGCAGGGCCAACTCCTCCTTTCACAGAGGAGGCAATAGCTAGAAGACTCTGGGTAGTCCGTTTATAGCTGGTATGAAGCCTCTCACCTCCTGTGAGGATCTGTGATGATGCAAATTACCTTGAAACAAAGGCAGCAACAGGATCGCAAGTTTCAGGTGGTCACAGTTGCCTCTTGCTTGGGAAAATACGAAGATTTCATTTTAAAAAAATCAGCTAAAATTGGATATCCCCTTCAAGGTAATTTGCATCATCACAGATCTGCACAAGAGGAGAGAGGCTTCATCCCAGCTATGAACTGCCTGCCCAGAGGTGTCTTCCATCTACTGACTCCTCTGTGAAACCCTATGAAATATAAACTTTCATGTCTACCTAGGAGAGCTTTTACAATCTTTTCTCCAATGCTGGATGCTTGTGCCTGACAGCTTGCAACTGAAGACTTCTTTTTGCAAAAATCTTGTTGGTCTAATAAAAGATACCATCTCTACCTGAAGTCCTGATTGCCTTTTCCTCTAGCCCAATACTGCTACAACCTGGACACTTAAATATGTAAATTTAATTTAAATGTGCTTCCTGGTCCACTGTAAAAGCAGCTTGGGAACCCCCAATTTAAGACTAACAACTTAAAATTACCTAATAAAATTACCTACACCTGTTAAGTTTCAAATTCAGAGACACTGTACTCACCAATTAATACGAAGTGGATGCCTGTTTCTCTGCGGACAGTTTATCAATTTGTGGCGAGCTCAGATTCTGTTTCTTCAATAAGGTCAGT